ATTTCCACATTTCCTTACTCCTCAAGATATTCTGTCTGGTCAGCAGTACACTTATCACACTGATGCAGAGTTGCAGGTGGCTGTCAGACATTGGTACCTATCTCAGGCAAGCAGACTTCTGCAACACAAGGATACAAATCTTAATCCCATGGTGTGACAAATATCACGATTTTGATGGTGATTATTTGGGAAGATAGCTGGAGGGTGCTATAAAAAAGTGTCTTCTACAATAAAGTTAAAGTGATATTGTATTTTCTTTTGGTTGACATCCTAGAGAAACTTACATTTTGTATTGGCCTGGTAAAAATATCACTGAGTAATAAACATGTACCTCTATCTTGAAGAGGAAATCGTCTGCTTAGTATTAGTGTTGCTCACATTTACCACGATGCTTATGTTATTTAGTAGTGTTTTTGTTTTCATTAAAATTAATGTGAACAAATTAAAATAACTGTATAATGTCATCTTGATACTAAACATTCTGTTGAAAAACGTAAATAAATAAGATAATGCTCACACGTAAATAAATCACAACGAATATTTCTGAACTGGATGGGAAGCCATTTTCCACTACATGTCCCAACAATGCTTTTAGTAGGATGTTTGTTAGCCGGAGTCTCGCCACGTAAAATAAGGCATCAGTTCAATTCAACTGTGATGTGATGTGACGTCGGATGTGATCCTGAGCCTCTTATTTGATTTTATTAGAGGATTCACATCAGTCTGAGCGCTAAAGAATACAGTCTGAAATGTTCTCTCACTGATTCTTTGCCATTACAATACATCATCTAAGTATGGTATTCACGATTTCATTGAGATGGAAATTCATTGAAGGTGGAACAATGAACATCAAGGTGGAACAATCAAGTTGATAGAAAACTTTGTGGAAGATGCTGCAAAGTGACCCAACATGCACTTATCAGAAGGTAGAGCAGGGAATTGCTACTAGAACGTTTGTAGAGTCAAGAATTTTTTAGGGAGGATTTTCTATCAGGATGATCAGCATCACTGACTCGGGAACAAAAACCATGTGGCAAGAACAAATACAAGAAAATGCTACAAAAATTTCAAAAACTTTGATTAGATGGATGTAAAGTATTTGTTTTTTCCTGTAAGCAGCTGACTTTCTTATGATGGAGGGCAATGGCGTAATGACATTCAAAGAGGTTTCATTGCATTGTCAGGTTTAACTTTCATTAACAATTCTTTTGAGACATGCTGTATCTGTCCCTTATCTTGTTTTTCTCATATTACACTGTCATCATATCAGCCCAAATCAGAGAATTGTTAATTCATTATATTTTTTTATATCTGAGTTGTGGGTGATTCTCTTTATTTGTGAGCAATTTTTCCCTTTATTAGGATGAACTGTGAATTTTGTAACTTCTCGACCTTTCTGTTCTTTATGTGGTTATATTGTAATGTGGAAAAGCATGGACCACAAAAGCAAAAATATTATGAACAGAGATAATTGTCTTTCAGGGAAGTGGAGTTCCTCTATAGATTCACTAGTGATAATTAAAAATTGTAGATTTGACAGAATTGTGGAAGATGATAAATAAAGAATAATGAAAGTAAAGAAATAGGAACGAAGTAGTTAATAACTCTATCATCTTTGTGGATCACTGCCAATAAAATACAGGAAAAGTGTTGTTAAACCACAGGGGACAGCCCCTTTTACACATATAATTATACACTATATAATTTATTGTATGAAAACGTTTATAATAGCAAAACCTATTGAACTTGGGCAAGAAGTACCTTGCTTCTCAGTGAAATTGGAAACTAATTTAGCAATACTGCCAACACTATTACCACCACTACAACCGCCCACGGGAAAGACTTCTAGGACACACATTTGGAAAATTAAGGCACGATCCTCAGCCATCTAATCTATGATTCAGGACGGGCCAGAGATCATTTCAGGTTCAGTTTTATTCATCAGTTCATGTGTTTGCATGCATGCAAGAGTATGAAGAAGCAGAGAGCCAGAGAGGGTTTGGGGTTTGTTTGTTTGTTGTTTTGTGTTTTTTTGTAATGAATTATGGTGTTTAAATGGATGTTGTTTGTCATTTATGGGTATAACTCCCAAAGAAGGTGATGTAGGAAAAACATCCATAAATTTCAAATTGTGATTTTAATTTAAACAAATAAAATGATTTAATTTAAATTAAATATGGTGAAATTAGGTATTCTTGTTAAGCATTGTGGCTTGCCTCTGATTTACATCTGCACTAGATTGTTGGACCCTATTCAGAATGTTCCAGAAAAGATACTTAAATGCAGAGGACAGGTAATGGATTAAGTGAAGCAGTTTCCATCTATGAGTCCTCAGTCCTGCGTCAAAGAAGCTGTGCTCTTTGCTAGAATGAGTAAAAAACATATCTCTCCCTGTATTCATTTTAATTCAAATGTCCAATGATTAAATTATTTCTGATAGGAATAATAAAGTATAATGCTGAAAGCATGGTTTATTTTCCAGAACATCTATGTCCTTCTTCTAAAATTTGCTAACATGTGATGTATTTATGACCTTAAGATCTGCCTAAACCCTCATAGACTAAAATAGTGGCCAATTCAATTTGCATCTCAAGTGTGTGTAGGTAAGCTGGATTCTCAAAGGGACTCTCGTATTTGATATAGCTGAATGCCAGCTTTTTGACCCAAGGTTATTGAGGAAAACTAAACCCCCTTGGTACCCTCTAGTTGTTGTGTATATTTGTGCAAATTTTTCTGAAACATTTGCCAAATGAGATCAGTGGGTTTATTTTTTTATTTCAAGACAAATGTATAATTGAATGTTGAATGTCATTGATTACAAATCTCTGGGTAAAGGTACCATTTTTGTAAATGATCAACTTCCTTTTTATATTTCTATCTTTTTCGAAAAATTCAAGACAAATGTATATTCCAAATGCGTATGACTTATCAATATGTTATTTCATTGGCATGTAGTAGTATAATAAATGCTATGCATTGTGCTGTGATAATTCAGTGCAATTTCAGTGATTTTTAAATGAATGTGAATAGATATAAATCACATTTTTTAATATACTGTCTGGTGTATGGGTAAGTGGGTTGGTTTCAGGAAGTATCATGAAACGTGTATATTTTAATATTATTTTGTGGAAATAGTGAAGTTGTTTTGCCTTAACACTGAAATATTTACCAAAAGTTAAATCGCATACTTTCATTTCAACTTAAACAATTGATTTGTATGAACGGCATAGAATGAAATGAACAGTAGGTATTCAATGATTAGTATTATAACAACTTGATAACTTACATGATATTCAAAGATTGCTAGTCCTTGTGTCCACTCCAGTCCAGTCCAGTCCAGTCCAGTGTAGTCCATGTTCAGGGTGTGCTAATTGATCACTAGGCAAACATATTTATTTTATAGGAAAGTACATTTTAAATTTTATTATTTGAAACATTTTAAAGTGATTCCATTATTTTTTACCAACCTGTGTCACATTGACTTGTCCATAGAGATGACCTACAGTCCATTTGAAAATGATCCTCTTGTGTAATATCAGCAGTGACTGTTAAATACTGCTTTTCTTGTAGTGTACCCCTTGTGCCTCATATTTTGGAGGTTTCAGGTTTGAGCCCAGCAGTGGAAGAAATTTCAGCCCATGTTGAAAGATCATCTCTTGTTGTGTCATCATATTTACAGGTAGAATTCAGGAGTTTTGATTCTCTTTTATAGGCTTTGAAGATCCTTTAATCACTCTAGACAAGTGCTGGAGTAGTGCCTAAAATCCTCATTTTCTTTCTTTTGTTTTCAAATATAAAATAGGGCTGATTTTCTGTTTCTTAGAGCTTATCATTGTGCATGATCATAATCATTTATTTATGGATAAAACTATTACAAACTGTGAAGTGACATAGTTACAATTTCATTATATCAAACGCATTAATTTTGTTTGTATTTGGTAAATGTCTTTAAAATAAATTTTACAAGTCATCACCATTTTTACTTTCTCGCCCATACAACTATATAAGAAGAGAAGGTATTGTAATCGTGCGTCGGAAAACGGCGAATTTTCGACAGAGAAGCTTGTCGGGGCCTGGTAACGAAACAGTGGATAAATCATGTTCCTGTATTTAGTAAATGACCTCCTCTAACTCGGTGAAATCAGAATTCATGTTTTGTGGGTCTTTGATACCGAAAAATCGATTGACGGCAGAACGTCTGTCTGTCCATCCGTGTAGCCTTTGTCTATTCATCGCAAGCGCCTGATCAGCCGATTTTGTCAAAAAAATTATATTCCTCCATGGATTTGAATGAACTCGACGCTTTGGGAGTTTCAACCGGATATTTTAATTTTTGAGGGTACTTTACATGATGCCTCAAAAACATTTTCAAAATTTTCTCATAAATCGCACCATCTCTTTTATTATTAAACTTTGTTCTCGGATAGCGTAAAAGACGCTTACGAGAAAACTGCAGATTTCGCGTTCGTTGAAATCACTGATTGAAGATGTGCAATTTTTTGGAGGGGTGCGTCTTAGTACAACTACAATATTGGAGATAGAGATTTTTTCCTGAATGAAATCTGTTCTTTAAAAAATCTGGAAATAAGTAGTACAATTTTTACAAGTTGTACAATGTTTCGCAAAATATGACGATTTCGCGTAATTTTGCGTTAAATATAGGCAATTTTTATTTTTTTAAACATTTTTTAAGCGGTACCATTTTTCTTTAAATTTTCTCGTCGTATTATCATAGGGCGCTAAAAATATGCGGCTAGTCCCAGTTTCGGCAAACTCCGTATTTTCAAAAATTGCAAAAAAAGTTATCATTTCAAAACTACCAAGTGGAAGATAGAGATGTTCGCCTTAGACAAAGTATGATGTAAAAACTCGGCTCTTTAAAAATGATCAAGTTCAATTTTTTGAAGAAAAAAAATAGTTGTTTTTGAGTAATTCGGGCTTGAAATTAATGCAAGTTATAAGAGAAATTGTCGCTCCAAATTTTTCTTGAATTTTTTTCCACGCATAAAGCAAGGAACGCTCAAAAGAATAGCGCAGGTCTCAATTTTGTTGATCTCTCAGAATTTTCGAAAAGATCAAATTTACAATTAATGCGAGAAAGTATATGCTGTTGGGGTACAAGTTTATAGTTATTCTGTATTTTTGGAAAGTTATTTTAAATTGACCTGTACAACTGGGTCTTTCTAGCTACTATATGTATTTTACAGCATTGCATGAAAGAATAAAACGTTGCATGTTAAATGATATTTACTTTCATCCAGTTAATAGTTACTACCAATTGATAATTTTCTGGACAATCCAAGAATTTCACTGTCTGGTTTGCTCCTTTGGGCCCCTTCCCGCGGCGCGGCCGCGGCGCGCTTCGCAGTAGCGCGGCGCGTAGCAGAGCATTGTTTTGAATGGAGGCCTTCCTACATGCAGCGGGTGGCGGCTGCTGCGGCAGCCGACGCCGAACTCCAGCTACGCGAAGCGGAGGGGGGGCCACGCGCCACCGCTAGCAGAACACAGCTTTAACCGTGGCTCCGGCGGTGGCTGCGTCGGAAGGGCTCTGCTCCTTGAACGAAGCGCGCCGCGGTCGCGCCATGGGAAGGCGTCCTTTTGTGAAATGATTTGAATAGATTTTTTGAAAGTATTGTTGTGTATATGTGTTGTCTATTTAAAAAAGATAGATTGTTTTATTTGTGTAACATTATTCCTCGGGTACCTTTTGGAGAACCTTTTTTCCATTCCAAATTTCCATCCTCTCCAAATTTGCTGAGGCTTACGTTAGCATAACCTTTCTACATTCATCGGTAGCAGACCTAGTACATATACCGGGAAAGTCTTGTTACAAAGAAATAACCCTCATTCTGTGTCGAATTTCATAAAGAATGAGAGATCCACTTTCTGCACTAGACATCGTCTGCAACAGGGTTGAGTGTAGCACTGTTTCACCGCATTTTCAGTGCAACTGTCTACTACTTAATACATTACTACTATTAGCATATAGGCTATTTTAGTGAAACATTTTATACTATACATTTCACAATTTCATTTGGTGAAATGTTGAATACATCATCAATGGGGGCGTTTATAGTGATTTAGATTTATTTAGTAAAAAAAAGAATAGAAGAGTATGGTGATGGACAGAGAATGGTGGAGTATGGTGAAAGTGGACAAGTAGTTAGAGCGACTGGGCGTGTACTGGGAGATTCCAGCTGGGGCAGTCAGTTCTTTGAACAGTCAAAATATCATTTACAACATTCTTAACACATAAACTATTGGAAATCTCCGACTACGATTATACTAAAGATACAGAACCACGTAACTGAAACGGAACACGTTTTTTTAAGTTCTGTCAGGTTAACACGTAACGTTCTATATTCCCACATAACTAGTGTCGAATGTGGAGCGGAGTAACTCTCCTTTAACCTAGTCAGTCATCGTTTGTCGTCAGTCATTGCATTTTATCCCTTGGCTAGGGGCTCAGCGCCGTTAGATACCCCGGGGTTCCCAGATGGTCACCCATCCAGAAACTCGTGATGTCTCGAATTGCCTCCGGGACTTCACGGAGCATAGTTAAGCAATTAGGCTAGCGGCGACAGCTTCACAAAATTCTAAGACTTCCAGGAACTCAGTGAACTTAATCTTCTATATATAGGCTCGTGGATTCGGAGAACGCAGTGTATCTAAATTACTACAACAGGTATCAGGATTTTTATGTTTATATGTTAAATGAACGAAATTTTCTTATTAACTAAACGAATGCTTTATTGTCTTTAATCCAAGGAAAATATTTACTTGTAATACAAAATATTACAGAAATGAAATTGGATTCATCCCAGAGACGTGGCAACAACCGCAAATAGCCCAAAGTTTCACCTGGTAGCATGCTCAGGGTGTATCTCTAAAATCACTCCGCCCTAGACGACTGGGACGACTGCGAATCACAGTTTGAGAGCCTGTTATTGATATTAAAAGAAAATTTGAATTAGAAAAATCTTCAAATTAGTATTTAAAAAATGGTTTACAATTCATTGTAATTAAAGACCGGAAGTTTAGGCACTATAAATCTATAAAGTATGCAGCTCAAAAGACACTTAAAACAGTTTTGGTACATGATCACTGTTAGAGAAATGGTTTCCACAACATTTTAATAAAACTTAAGACGAAAAACTGAGATTAAAAGAAATTAGTTTTAAGACAAAATAATTTAAGATGAGAAACATTTTTGGTTTCTTAAAAAAAACAACAAGTGTTTTCTTAAATTCTCTGGGAATAAGATGGGCCTTCTGACAGACGAAACACTCCATTGGGAGAAAGATCTCTCAACGTCGACGGAGGTTATTGGAACAAATCTTAAACACAATAGATCAGAGGGATCTATTTCTTCAGCAGCTGAATTGTCACCCTTTAGAATTTTCGAAATATCTCCAAGTTTGTGTAAATCTGAATTTTGATAAAACACTCTCCAACATGTTTCTGATAACAAAAATATTTTTCCCCTGACTCCTTCTGTAGCCAATGTACAGCATCATCCACAATTTTCTATGATTTCACTAGAGACTTTTATGCTAGTCAAGTGATATCTGGCAAATAAAGAGAAAAGAACCGTAATAAAACATGGTCATTTTGTATTTCCAAAGAATTAGGAAGTTTCTTTGATAATCTGACTGATGATGCTTCATTCTCAATAGTGTTAACCACAGAACGTATTCTTGAAAAGTTGTAAGGGTAGACAGCTGCTGAAATCCATGTTCCCCATCCAGTATCGGATTTACACAGCGGGAAATTTTGAAGTGTCTTCATACTTCTAAATTATAGATAGATATGTTTTTTCTTAATGAAATATGTTTTTTTAAAGAAACGGTCTTGAAATAAGGTCATGTAAAATTTTTCGAAAATATGAGTAGTTTTCGCAGAATTTTGTATAGGACCAATTTTTTTAAACAATTATTTTCTCAGAAACGACTTCAATTTTTCTTTAAATTTTCTCTCCGTTTGTATTAGGACGGTAAAAAAAGTGGTGCTAGTCTCATTTCCGAAAATTGTAAAAAGGTAACATTTGGAAACTACGAAGTTGAAGATAAACATTTTTGCTCCCAATAATATTTGTTCTAAAGAATCAGATCTTTAATAATGCCATGTACATTGTTTTGAAAAATCTAGTTGTTTTCGTGTAATTTCTGATCGAAATAAATGCAATTTATGACAAACATTTTCTCAGAAACTGCTTCTATTTTTCTGTACACTTTTTCCACGGTAAAACGAGGGAAGCGTAAAAGAATGACTTAGGCCTCGTTTTCGTGGAACTCTTTGAATTTTCGAAAATCACAGATGTTAGAAATAATGCGGAAAAGTATGTTTTGTAGTATCCCACTAGTTGGATTCACTTTTACACTTTCTCTTTTCTTTGGTGCTTCCGGGTCTGTTTACGGCTGTCATTACTCTGGTAAATGTCGTGCTTGATTTTATCGCGGGAGTTGGCGGTGATCTTCCGCCGCTAAATGGCGAGATTCCGCGCTGACCTTCGACTTGCTGGGTCTTTCTCGACCATGAATCTCCCATCGGTGGGACACTACTGCATACGGGACAAGCTCTAAAGATCACGACGTGTGTGATAGTGTAGTGCTTTCAAATGTATGTAAGAGGTGGGGATAGGACAAGGAAGAAGAACGCGCTCGGTCCGTGGCCGGTTCG